GGCAGAAGGAGATCACAACTCAGCCCCTTGTTTCCAGAGTCACTCCCCGGCCCCCGTGTGTCTCGGAAACGACGCTGGGCCGTGTGACCAGCCCCAGAGGCTAAAACCCACCCTGGGGGCGAGATGCAGTGACTTTCTAGGCTGGGGATGAGGCTAGATGAAGCCCAGTGTTTTCTCCTCCCAGGGACTAGCCTCGGACTCCCCCCCACTCCATCCACGGGGGAAGCAGGAGGAAGCAGAACAGGTGGGCCAACAGGACTGCTGGGGGGGCAGGGGACTGGACTTGACAACCTCTCGAGGTCCCTTCTGGTTCTAGGGTTCTATGATTCTATGGGCCATCTGATTCCTCCCCTGGCAGGATGGGGCAAAGGGAGAAACTTCGGTTGCTTGTGTCTCCCCACTCCAGACAGTGGTAGAGCACTCCCTAAAGGGCGAGGAGGGCAGAGGGGAGGCAAGTGGGGTGAAATAGGCCTTTGACTCTGGGAGCTAGCCAGATGGGCCGTTCATGGGAAAGGCTGCGATGTGGGGAGGAGACTGTAACTGACAAAGATCTGCTGCACCTCTGTCAATTGCATCTTTTCGGTTTGTCTAGTTTGTTTGTTTCAGATAGAAGGATGATCTTCTATTCTATTTGTTTGGCACCTGGGTCCTGATGCTGGCTGGGGCATGCAGGCGTACTGGCAGACAGCAGAACTGGTCAGAATGTTTCTTTCCAAAATGTTTTCCCTACGCCCTCTGACCCCGCCAAAAAAACAAAAAAAACCCAAAACTTTTCTTCTTAGAAAAAAGGACGCAATTCATGAAAAGAGTTTTCATATCGTAAAAGTTTTTGATGACACTGAAAACTTACAACATTTCACGTGTCAACATTTCGATACTTTATTTTCTCCTTACATCTCCCTGAATTCAACAAAATGGGTGTGTCTAGACTACAGGGTTTTTTCGAGAAAAGGCTACTTTTTTCGAAAAAACTTCCCCTGCGTCTAGACTGCAGCCGCGTTCTTTTGAAAGTAAATTGAAAGAACACGGCAGTTTTTTCGATTGCGGTCAACCTCATTCTACGAGGAAGAACATCTTTTTTTGAAAGTACTTTCGAAAAAAGGCGCTATTGAATGCAACCTGTGCTTTTTCAAGAGAGAGCATCTAGACTCCCTCTCGAAAAAGCGGCTCGCTTTTTCGAAAAATCTGCTGTGTGCCCACGCTACAGGGAAGCCTTGAAATGAGTCCAAAGCAGGCTCCGTTAATGTGGACATGCTACCTTGACTTATAGCCCCAGGAAGCATTGGGGAGGAGTTAGTTTGAAGGACTCTGGAGAGTGATTATTTCAAAACAGCAGCAGCGGAGCGTCCACACGACCGCTATTTTGAAATAACGATTTGGAAATAAGCGTTATTCCTTGTGGAAAGCAGGCATTATTATTTCAAAATAACGGGCTTGGTAGTGTGGACGTTACGCTCGTTATTTCGAAATAAGGGAGCTAGTGGAAGAAACATTTCAAAAATTCCGAATTAAAAAAAAAAATCAAAACTTTTAAAATATCAGTAAAAAGGAAAAACCTAACTAAACCTTCCGCTTTGGATCACAGGCAATACGAAGGACTTCAACATTTTGAATTTTTGTCATGAAATTATTTCTCCCCCTTTTCCGTCTTCCCTTCTCTCTCATAAAAGCTGCGTGACATGGCGATCTGGAGGGGGTCGGTTTGGGGCTTTGCGAAAATCAAGCCATGCCCGGCTGGATGGTTCAAATGCAGCCAGCTCGCGGCCGGGGCCGGGATGAGGTTCATACGTGAAGGAGACGGCTGGATTTACTGCGCTGCCAGCACCTTTGATTGTGACAGGAGAGAGCTTCAGATGTTGCGGGCTGCTGAGCAGCAGAGGCATAAGTCCGGCAACAAAGGAGTAAACACATGAAAACAATTCGCCCTGTTGTGCAGCGGCTACATCTGTCTCTCTGTGGTACTTCTATGCCCACCGGCACCTCAGCGTCTGAACACCGCCCCAACATCCCCGGACTGAGCCTCACAATATCCGGGAGGTAGGGAAAAGCTCCTGTTCCCGTTTTACACATGCGGAGTGGAGGCAAAGGGACTTACCCAAGGGCACGCTAGAAGTCTGTGGCGGAGCTGGGAACTGAACCCAGGACTCTAGCTTCCCAAGCAAGCACCCTAACAATGAGGGTTGCAATTGGGATTGGCTCACAGGTGAAACAAGTTTGTGGGCTCAGCCAGGCCCACCGACTGGTTTCCTATTGTTTCGCCCACAGCTTGACTTCCTCCCAGCTCTGTGTTCTTCCTCGCTCTGCAGGGATTGAGGGGAAATGCAGCCACCTGGCCTCATCTCTAGGAAGTTCTCGCCCGCGAGATGTCTAGGGGAAATAGCTGAGTGGCTTTTCTTAACGAGGAAGGGTCGTTATTTTTTATGTCTCTGCTGCTCAGCCCTCCTGCTGCCATTGTAGCAAGATTGATTGTAATGAGAGCGCTTCAGGTTGCAGGCTGCTGAGTCAAGAATTCAGCTTCTCTCCCCTGTGCTAAAATTAAGGGGATGCCTCAGCTACTGGGTGGATCAATGCTGCGGCAATCGATCCATTGGGGATCGATCGAGTGGGTCTAGTGAAGACTGTTGACCCAGCGCAGTGCAGATCTAAGCTATGTTGATCCGACTTACATTAGCAGCATAACTCAAATTGCATAGCTCAGACTGACTTGTCCCCTTGGGTCAGGTCCACGCTGGCAGAGAAAATTGATGGGCAATATGCAATTCCAGCTACGACAAAGTCAACGTACCTTACATGAATTTTCTGGGGCAACCCCACAGCAGGAGGTCGATGGGAGAAAAATCTCCTGTTGTCTTCCCTTACTCCTTCCCAACTTCCCTTATTCCTCATCTATGGAGACTCTTTTCAGCATTCGATTTAGTGGGTCTTCACTAGACCAACTAAATCGAACCCCGGAAGATCAATTGCCAGATGGTCATTCTTCAGTCAGTATAGCCAAGCCTTTAGTGTAGATCTGCCCTAATGTTGAAACTGTCTAGCAAGAGGATAAAGCGGCTGGCAATGGAACCACGTGGCTCAAACTTCGTGTACTTCTGCAAATCCTACAGCAATCCTGGATTCTCCATGAGCACAAAGTTAGGAGGACTGGGCTGCACAGGATCCCTTAGCTCAACCTGGCTTGTGCTGTTCCTTGATTAGTTCTGCACTCACCTACATCCCAGCAAACCAGCTGTCCCTCTCCCCATTCACTGCTGCCCTTCTTCTTGTGTTGTCATGTACACTTGTGCACATGTAGCCCACATATATTCTGGGTGTGGTCTACTGTGCCATGCAGAGGAACTTAGACCACTTAGCAGTGGTCTCCAACGTGGTGCCCGTGGGCGCCATGGCACCCAGTCATCAGGGCTGGCCCAAGTCATTCTTGTGCCCCGGGTGCACGGCACCTGCGCGGCCCCTGTTCTGTCCGCGCGGCACATGCATGGCCCCTGCCCTGGGCACGCGGTGCATGGCGCATGTGCAGCCGTGGCCCCATCCCCGGGCGCCCGGCAGCCCCAAAAGGTTGGGGACCACTGACTCAGAGAGAGAGAGAAGTTCCCTCTCCAGCCTTTGCTAAGAGCCAGCTGGCTTTCAGCCCAAGCTATAGAGCAGCGTTTCTTAAACTGTGTTCCGTGGCACACTGGTGTGCCACGAGGCAGTTGGAGGTGTGCCGTGGAGAACAACAGAGTTAAAAATGGCCCCCCTTAAAGGGGCAGTTGCCTCTCAACAAAAAATCCTTGGTGTTCCTCATGAAAAAAAAAAATTGTTCGGTGTTCCTCGGTCTTAAAAAGTTTAAGAAACACTGCTCTAGAGGCTCATGCACTAAGCTCCAGAGGTCCCAGGTGTGTTTCCGCCTGTCAGCGTTGCACAGCGTGAGGCTGGGGGTAACCCTACCAAGTCTCCATGAGTCACGTTCTCCTTTCCACCCGGCCTCCTCTCCAGCTCCTGCAATTAAAGCAATGAAGCGAAGGGACGCAGGAGGACCAACAGGGGACGGTACCTGTTTCGGTATCTGCCCGAAGTTGCTGACAAAGCCTAGGATGGTACTTTTGATCAGAGGGTCGCTGGTGCTGTTGAGGTCCACCTTGTCTCCGTAGAAGTAGGGGTGAAAGGTGTTCACGGCCTCCACGGCGGCTGAGCCGTGCTGCTTGTGGCCAAAAATGAGATCGATCCAGTGATGGAGATGGGCACTCACGTAGTCACTTTCCAGCGCCTGGGACCAAGAGCCAAAGGGGGTCAGAAAGGGGCACCTGTCGCAGATCCGACACAGGGCAGGCAGAGCGAATACCGAGCTAGCCCCGGGAAACCAGCGCGGTGGGATGCTGCTCGCTCTACGGACTGTCACCGCGCAGCACAGGGCTTTTCTTAAAGCGGGTCACTGGGTTTTATATCGCTGAGGCTCCGCAGGAATTTCTCCAAGTGGGCTCAGGTGCTAACTCCACTTCTACAGACCGGCATTCCAGGCCTGGTGCAGCCCAGAGCCACCTGCCAGAGCCTGCCTCTGGTACCCCACCTCCTCCTACACCCCAACTCCCTGCCCCAGGTCACCACCCCAACCCTCTGCACCTCCCCGTCCCAGGTCACAGCTCCCTCCCAGACCCTGCACGCCTCCGAGACCTCTCCCCCTGGCCAGAATCCTCTCCTGCACCCAGACCCCACATCCCCTCTTGCATCCTAGTCCCCTACCTCAAGTTCCCTTCTGCACCCAACCTCCATCTCAGACCCCCCCTCACCCTCTCCATAGAAATGTGGCCCTTGACTACTTGCCAAAAACTTGGAGTGGTCCCCCCATTAAATTATTGCCCACTCCTGGACTAGGGTATGGAGGGAGGGGCACAAAGTGCAAGAAGCAGTGTTGGTACTTCTGGCCGTGGAGACTTTACTCGCTGTATATTGACTACTCGAGCAAAAATGTCACCTGTCATTTTCGTAGAGTGCCAGTTTGTTTTGGTGGTAATTGATATTTTGTGCTATGAGAAGTTATTTCATTCGCCACCATAATTAATTTATCATGCCAAGAAATGGGTGGATCTTGGCTACTATACTATGTAATCACAGCTTTCAGCACTAGCAGTTTCTGAAATAAGCAGGCCATGCAGAATTTTTCATGAGTGTTGTACATTTTCCTTGTTTTATTTTAATTCTAACAGTCACCTTCCCTTTCTGTGCAAGCCGATAAATTTATAGGGGTCTCCGTCCGCCCAGGGGGGCAGCTGCACATCCCCCAGCACCGTGCCATCCTGCATGCTGCCTGCAACAGGTCCCAAGGGAAGATTAGCTAGACAAACAGCCAGAGCCGTTGCTCGGTTGCAAATGGAGACCGGTTTTCCCCAAAGCTAAGCGAGCCAGGGCCAGATAACTTCCTATGGGCGAGGTTTCTCCTTGTGTGGTTCTGGCTGGAATATGGACGTGGCCTCCTAAAACCCTCCTAAAATCCTGTTTTCCCTGGGGATTTCCCGGGCAGATCCAGAGAGAGCCAACAGCTGATGCGAATGAGAATGCAAACTCCCGGGTGCCTGCCCGGAGCGGAACCTTACAGCACCTCCCTGTGCTAGTCATGACTAGAGCCCTGCACGGCTACGCAGTTTGTAGCCACATCCACGGATGCAGATTTCAGAAAATGTGCAGGGTTCTAGAGAGGAAATTTGTATCCGCATCTCTGGCTGCAGACACCGGCAGATATAACGTGGGTCTCTGCAAATTTGCATTATTACCACGATAAAATCGCACCGTTCGCAGCACGAACTCTGTTCCCATCTCAGAGCAGACTGGATCCAAACACTAGTTCTATGGGTGGCAGCACGGGGCCATGCTAATTGTGGGGGATAATTACTAAAGTAGGAGTTCGGTCCTGAGGACCACAGGAGTCCCTGTTGTATGAATCCTTACATCGATCTCTTATACAGCGCTACTCAGAGCACATCACAGTCTTTCAATGGACTCATCTTCGCACCCCGATTTATTATCACCATGGTACAAATGGGGAACTTAGGCACACAGATAAGTGACTTGACCGAGGACACACAGGTTGCATGTGGCAGGGAGCTGAACTGTATTCTCCAAGGCTCTAGGGCAGTTTCTTCACCCCTGGGCCACCCTTGCCAAGCCTTCTGAGCATCTCCATAGAAGACAGCCCTGAAATGGGAGACTGTAACCCAATCCCTTTGAAACCAAGATGCTTTTGGTCTGGATTCAAATTTCACAGCTCAGCCTACCAGAGCAGCTGCAACGGCCAGATCCCATCTCGCAGCCCCGCGCTGTCAGGGCGCTCGCCCGCCTCTCGGCTCTTACCAAACTCAAAGTGATTGCAGTTGGTTAGGAATTCGGGCAAGTAGAAGAACTCGGGGATGAGCTCGCGGACGTCGCTCATGTTGTCTCGCGACGCTGAGTCCCAGGCGTTCTTCACGCTGTGGAACATCCGGTCGGCTACGTCGAAGCTTCCCCCCTGCAGCCACGAGGAGAGACAGACAGACTGAGCGCGCCCCCCCGTGCGTAGGGTTGGATTTCCAGTGTGCTGCATGACCTTGCCTGACCGAGAGGCAGGAGCCGAACCACGGCCTGCTTTCTAATGAGACTCTAGGCACGTAGCTGAAAGGGGCCCCGTTTATGCGGTGCACCTGGGAGGGGAACGCGTCTAGCCTGCAGGGCGTCGCCATCAAGCAGCAATGTGGCTCTCCTGCATGACCGTGGCCTGGCTTTGGGACACTTTCTGCGAGCCGGCCTGCTTCCATGCGCCCTCCCGCCCCCTTCCCCCCATGCTGAATGTTATAGGCGCTTCCTGAATAGGGCTGGTTTCACAAAAATCAGGCCTTTCGGGAAAGCCTCCCCTTACGTTACGCGGGAGTGTGGCCTAGGATTGAGACCGTGTTAGAGTTCCGGGGTCATTTCCAAACGCTGAGCGCAAGTCCCATCGACTCCCAAAGGCACTTGTGCTCCTAAGTCACTTAGGCGCAGCGAGAAAGCCCCACCCCCTGTTGGGATCGCAACGCCCGCCTCTGAAGCACAGCTAGTTGTCACGCCGCTTCGTTCAGGAACGAAGACAGAGATGCCGCGCTGACACCGCAGGGGACGTTTGCCCCACTAGGATTTCAGCCTCGGGCCCGTGTACACCCTGGTGAAAAGTGCCCTGGGATCTGCACGGGCCACGAGCGCTTACTCGGAACGGGACACACCCGAGCCTGTCTGTAGTGGTCTCCCAACCACAACTAGCCAAACTAATTGCAGGAGATAATTGCTAAAATAGGAGTTCAGTCCTGAGGACCACAGGGGTCCCTGTTGTATGAATCCTTACATCGATCTCTTATACAGCGTTACTCAGAGCACTTCACAGTCTTTTAAAGGACTCATATTTGCACCCCAGTCTATTATCACCATAGTACAGATGGGGAACTGAGGCACACAGACTATAAGTGACTTGACCGAGGACACACAGGTTGCCTGTGGCAGGGAACCGAAACATATTCTCCAAGGTTCTAGGGCAGTTTCTTCACCACTGGGCCACCCTTGCCAAGCCTTCTGGGCATCTCCACAGAAGACAGCCCTGAAATAGGAGACTGAAACCCAATCCCTTTGAAACCAAGATGCTTTGGGTCTGGATTCAAATTTCACAGCTCAGTCTACCAGGGCATCTGCACAGGCTGTTTTTCTTAGCTCCCTCTAGAGCCTAGAGATGTGGATTAAAGATTCAAACGGCGACACTCTGAGTAAATTGACTGTTGGAGGTAGGGGTGGGGCCAACATCTTCCCGCTCATATCATCGGGCTAGCGTGCTAAAAATACTGTGGCCGCAGTAGCACAGGCACTGGCTTGGGCTAGCTGTTTCCATGGGGTCTAGACGGGTTTATCCTCGGTGTGGCTGTCATTTGTAGCGCCCCTGCTCGATGATGGCCCGAGTGGTCTGCCTACGGGCGCTAGGAATCACAGCCCACGTGCAGCCACACCCGGAGAGCCACTCTCGAAAGGAAACTCCACACGGCCCCTTGTCCAGACCTGGGGGAACTCCATGACTTAACCCAGAATATTTCTCCAGCACCACCACAGAACGTCAGCCAACGGTTTCCCGAATCTCAGGCAAACCCTGGGGAACATGGCCTTTCCTGGTGTCTGGGAAGAGAAGGTTGGCTCCAGAAGGCGTTTCGGTGGGGCAGGAAGGCAGGCCTGGGGGGTGGGACAGAGGCGTGGGACTCAGGGGGAAAGTCACTTGTGCTACACTGCGCTTCAAAATCCCCACTGGGAAAATGTCTCCTCCTCCCGTACCCCCAGGGGCGCTGAGAAGCCAGGGTCCAGTCCTTAGGAGGGGCTGAGAGACTGGAGCCACGAGGCACACAGGAGAACTTGGACTGATCCTCCGAACTCATTTCCCTCCTGCTGTTTGCCCATGTGGCGATAGAGAAGCAACGAGGGGGCATGGGAACAAGCTGGGCTTCACCAGCCAGCACCCTGAATTCCAGCCTCCGGGTAGGTTGGAATCTCAGGGCAGCTAACGGTGGCTTCCAATCTAGCTACGGTGCCGCGACCACATGCTCAGGGTTTAGCTGATCGCCATATTTGGGGTTGGGAAGGAATTTTCCTCCAGGGTAGATTGGCAGAGACCCTGGAGGTTTTTCGCCTTCCTCTGTAGCATGGGGCACAGATCACAGCTGGAGGATTCTCTGCATCTTGGGGCCTTCAAAGTATTTGAAGGCTTCAATATCTGAGCTATAGGTAGTGGGTGGGTGAGATTCTGTGGCCTGTATTGCGCAGGGGGTCAGACAGATTATCATAATGGTCCCTTCTGACCTTAAAGTTTATGACTGTGTCTAGATTGACCAGTTTTTCCGGAAAATCAGCCGCTTTTCCAGAAAAACTTGCCAGCTGTCTACACGGGCTGCTTGAATTTCTACAAAAGCACTGACTTCCTACTGTAAGAAATCAGTGCTTCTTGAGGAAATACTATGCTGCGCCCATTCGGGCAAAAGTCCTTTTGCGCAAAACTTTTGCGCAAACGGGCCAGTGTAGACAGTTCAGATTTGTTTTCCTCAAAAAAGCCCTGATGGCGAAAATGGCAATCGGGGCTTTTTTGCAGAAAAGCGCATCTAGATCGGCACAGACGCTTTTCTGCAAAAAGTGCTTTTGCGGAAAAGCGTCCGTGCCAATCCAGACGTGCTTTTCCGAAAATGCTTTTAACAGAAAACTTTTCCGTTAAAAGCATTTCCGGAAAATCATGCCAGTCTAGACGTAGCCCATGAGTCTATGAGACCCTTTTCACCCAGAGAGATGGTGGCTTTGGGTTGGCCTGCGTTGGATTGGTTTATAGCAGGGCCAGGCCTCACCACTCCAAGGAGGCGTCTCGGCCCACCTCAGGTGGGGAGACAGGGCCAAATGAAAGACGGCGCAGGGGGCTATTTCTGGAAGCTGAATTCTGGCTCTGACTCGCCAGCCCATCGGGCCTCTCCACACAAAACGCTGTCCCTCCGTTTCCTCGAACCTGGGATGGAAGGGGCTGATTCCACAGCTGGGCCGGAAGATGAGAATTCAAACACTAAGCCTGACAGGCCGAACGTCTGCGGACTTGAATCCCAGCGACGAATCCTTTGAGGGACAGAATTCCCCAGCCCCTACTTGTCCCCCACGCCGTCGGCTTGCTGTGTCCTCGCGCTGAGCTCCGGGGGCGGAACCCATCTGTGTGCCTGTGGGGCAGGCCCCAGCTCTGCAGAGGATACGAGGGACCTGTCGCACACGCAGAGGGACGTCCCTTTCCCTCAGGCTCCAGCAGTTCATGCTTTTAACTCTGGAGGCTTTCGCTTCCGTCCCTGGCAGCCAGCTAAGCGTGACAGATTTGCATGCAAGCCCGTAGGGACCTGCCTCTTGCTGGCTGATTAGGATAGCTCATTGCCTCTGTTCACCTCCTCTGTTGGCCTCAGGAGCTAGATCAAGAAGACTGGGATCAAAAAGGTCCTTTCTAGGTAGTTCCAGGTGACTGGGCCTTACCTTTCAGGGCATTAAATATCATAGAAGCACAGAACACTAGAACTGGAAGGGACCTCGAGAGGTCATCGAGTCCAGTCTCCTGCCCTCACGGCCGGACCAAGCACCATCTGGACCAGGGCTACTCAACTTTGGAAGCCCCGACGGCCACATTGATACTCACAGCACACGCCGAGGGCTGCAACTTAAGTGTGGTTGCGTGTACATGCAAATATATATTCAAATCTATGCAAATAGCTTCTTTCACACTGCCGGGCATGAATACAAAGATTAAGGCAAGACGACACAACACACAGGCCCCATTTGAGTCAGTGCTGCTGCTATTAATAAAAGGCAACGTTTACCCAATTTCCACCCATCTGACAGCACTTTTGATGAGCACTGACAGTCCAGGACTAACTACTAAAGCGCATCTCAACAGAAGACCATTGTTTTGAGTGCTTTTTTTTTTGGCTCCCACCCATGGGCCACATGTTAAGTCCCGCGTAAATCCAAACCGCACCCAAACCCAAACCGCACCGTGGGCCGCAAACAGACAGGCTGTGTGGCCGGCAGGCCGTGTGTTGAGTAGTCCTGATCTAGATCATCCCTGACAGGTGTCTGTCCAACCTGCTCTTAAATATCTCCAGGGATGGAGATTTCACAACCTCCCTAGGCAATTTATTCCAGTGTTTAACCACCCTGACAGGTAGGACGTTTTTCCTAATGTCCAACCTAAACCTTCCTTGCTGCAGTTTAAGCCCATTGCTTCTTGACTCAATATAAATATAAAAGTTTAAGTTTAAGCAACACATAAGCATCCGTGCAGCAGCTGAGCAGGGGGTGAAAACAAGACAGCTAGTCTTCCACTTCAATGCACTGTAAAGCAAACTCCACTTTTGGGTAAGCAGTCAACGGAGCTTACGTCTGGATAGGGGAGACTTTGCACTCCAACTCAGGGGATCACAACTAATCCTCTGGCCAAGATCTAGCTAAGAGATAATTTGATGCACAAGGTCATTTTGCTCTTGATCAGTACCAGGCAGGGACCCTTGGAGTCAAATTCACGTCGAAATTAAAACAGGGTAGAAGGAGGTCTATAAATAAATCAACAGCTAACAAGTATCTCATTGAAGCATATTAAAGGGCTTTGTATATTTAATCTTCACACAGCGCCCTGTGTCGTGTAGTGATTGATGCTTTTTCATCTTTTTTTGCAGCTTTTATGAGCGCTGATGGTAATCTCCGGAGAAACAATATGATTTGTAATAAAAAGATTACCTGTATTAAATAAAAATAATATATACATAGGAAATGCTGTTAGTGTGACAAATCTGGTTAAAGATATTACCACCAAGAAAAAATGTGATTTTTTCCCGGGCTGTCTAATTCATTTTCAGGAAAAGTAATATCTTTAAAACTTAAGCCTGTATTATTTATAAAGGAAGCAATAACTGATTTTCCCATTTCTTGTATTAATAAATTTATTTGCATATATTTATATCAGAATTAATGGGTTTTCTCTCTCTCCTGGAATACAAAAACTGCACCGAAAGGGAAAAAGAAATTCCTGGAATTGCGTTAGGCTTTTCAGCTGCACATTAACATAAACTCTTACAGCTTGAGCCACACGGCGTGAGATCTAGGGTTTCCTTCCTTTTTGTGAAGCCATTACAGTCATCAGGGCTACGGGTGAATTTAAATACTGTCATAGCCACAGTATGACAGTGGCAGGGCAAAGCAGTTAGGGAAAAGCATTCCCTGGGGAGAATATAAGTTAGAATCAAACTGCACTCCTGTAAGAACGGGGCTGAGAAAGTGCTGTTGATTATAACATTGGGGCCTGATAGGACCTTATTGTAAGAATGGGGCTGAGAAAATGCCGTTGATTATAACATTGGGGCCTGATAGGACCTTAAATCCAAGGAGTTCTAAGTGCATCTCAGATGCCTATGAAGGCGCAAAGCTTTAAAAGACCCTTTTCTTAGATGTTCACTTACTAACCAACCTTCTTCTTTAGATGGCTGGGTGCGATCAGCTCTATGGACCAGTGGAATCAACTTCGCCAGACAACTCTGTTTGAATCAGACCCATCTCAAGACACTCTCCTCTTAAAACGCAGCCCTCATCTCCGCCTCCTCCTGCTCTCCTGACTTCTTAAGAGCCCCAGGGCAGAGTTATGGCTGGATCCCCCCATGTCCACATGATTATTGACACCCTCGAGGAACTCTAAGAAATTGGCGAGGTTTGATTTCCCTCTGCAAAAGCCATGTTGACTCTTCCCCAACATGGCATGTCGGTGTGTGGGGTAGTTCTCGTCTTTCCTCTACTTTCCATAAGAACATAAGAACAGCCATAGTGGGTCAGACCAAAGGTCCATCTAGCCCAGTATCCTGTGTGCCAACATGGCCAGCACCAGGTGCCCCAGAGAGGGTGGACCGAAGACAATGATCAAGCGATTTGTCTCCTGTCATCCCTCTCCAGCCTCTGACAAACAGAGGCCAAGGACACCCACAAAGCCTCCCTCGGGTAGCCTTTTATGGACCTAACCTCCATGAATTTATCCAGCTTCTCTTTAAACTCTATTATAGTCCTAGCCTTCACAGCCTCCTCTGGCAAGGAGTTCCACAGGTTGACAACACGCTGTGTATAGAAGAACTTTCTTTTATTAGTTTTAAACCTGCTACCCATTAATTTCATTTAGTGTCCTCTAGTTCTTCTATTTAGGGAACTAATAAATAACTTTTCTTTATCGGCCCTCTCCACACCACCATAGGGTCAGGCAGGGGCAGAGGGACAACCAGGCGCTTCAGCGCCAAACAGAAGGAGCCGTGGTCGAGGCCCAGCAACCCACAAAGCCTCCCTCGGGGTCTTGCGTGAGCCCCGGGATCAGGTTCTGCCGCTGAGCGTTCCCCGAAGGGAGCGCCACGGGGCCTCCATCGGTACCAGGCTCCGCGTGGGACATCCCGGAGTTACTCGAGGATGAAGGGGCGGGGGGCGAGCCAGGCGCGGGGATCTAGGAGCAGCAGAATTCGCTTCCTTCCAGTCCTCCCGTGGAGGGCTGTGTTCCTACCAGCAGGGGGCGCTACAGTTCGACGGCAGTGACCAGATCAGTCACTCCCCGACTTCGTTGGACCCAGCTGTACGTCCCAGTGGAACCAGCTCATGCCACTCAGGTTTGCTGCTCCCCTGTCTGCCCCGGGAGCGAGCGGCACCAGGTAGACGCGGGGAACGACAACCCCGGCTCCGATTTGCACGCGTTAGTGCACGACCAGCGGAACGAGGCAGCCGGCAGAACCAGTCAGTGGGTCAGCCCC